ACGCGGCACCCATCTTGCACAGAGCTTTTCCATATGCAAATGTTGGTGCAAAATATGTTGCACACGTTCATATGACATCTTACAGGTCTCAGCTATCTCACGCACTTTCAATCTGCGGTCTCCCAGCACTATTTGATGAATTTTTTCGATCATATCTGGAGTTGTGACCTCAACGGGGCGTCCTGAGCGAGGCCCATCAGAGGTGCTCACACGACCCTTTTTAAACTCGGAAACCCACTGCTTAACGGTTGAATATGACGGGGAGGATGTCCCCAGTGTTGAGTCCATCTCTTTTTTAATTTCCTTCGGCGTTAACCCCTTCAAATAAAAGTATTTGATGACAGCACGATTTTCCTGCTTTTCCATTTTTACGAAAACCACAGAGGCGTCTTGTTCAGCGTGCTGTCAAACCTACACTAGCAAGGAGATCGGGCTGAAACTATAGCTACAAGCTATCCAAGGATGGTACTATAGAATGTCACCTCAAGGTAGGCCTAGTGGCGTCATCTCTTGGTTAGGCCGGAAACTTATCAATCCACCCTCGTATAATTCCAGTCAGGCGGTTCTAAAGCCGACCCTGATGTTTTGCGTGCCTAAACAAGCTCTAACCGCTGCACCGCTTACTATTATTCAGTTATCTCTTTTCACTTTGTCTGTACTACTCATGAAGCATTTCCTAACTTAACAAGGGCGTGTTCAAAACGCAGCAAATGACTACAGTCCCAAGTGGAGCCAAGAAAGTAGATACGTCCATTCTAACAAATAATTTATTGTGGAATTTGCCAATTTTGATCGTCTTAACTATAGTAATATACATCGCTAAAAAATGGGAGTCAATAATTGTGCACACATCTATCTCAAATCTCATAAAAATACACTTTTTCAATAAAGATCAGTAAAATTTACTAAAGCAAATATCATACTCCACGAAACACCCTTTGGGGAGTTAAGCTCAATGACTGGGACAGTACATTTGCAGCTTTTAGCAAATAGATCTTTGCTCTAAGCCCATGCGACAACGCAAAATTTTAAAATAATAAGTGAATGAGGACACTTGTTCAATTCCAGATCCGTTTGCCCTAGTCTTCTGTGGTTTCCTAATACCACTTAGAAAAATGCTATATGCAATATTCCACAGATAATCTTTCACTCTCTTCTGTCTTCATTTTATCCATCTCATCTTTTTCATCTCATACACCACCTACTCATTCCCACGTTTCCTAAAAAGAGGTCGAAGAGGGCTCTCCTCCTTACTTTCCGGCGTAGTTTGTAGGAACCGCCCGCCCACCACGATTAATAGCTGGTAGAAATGAAACAATCAAATTTCTTTTTCAAGTTTTTTATTTAGTTTTCACTTATGCAGGTCAATTAATTTTTTTTTAAAGATACTGTTTGTCTTATTCCATTTAGCCAACAAAGAGCAAGTTCAAGAAATAATCCATACGAAATGATTCTATCAATATCCATCAACAGAAAAATATTAGATGACCAGATGATGTGTGAATAATACATTAATAGAATATATGATAGCCCACCCTTGAATGGGGTGGCACTGGGTTCAATTCAAATCGCATATAACGTGAAAAAGTAATCATTGCGTGTGCTATGTTAGCTCCTATTTGGCGTTTGAATCACGCCGCTGCTACTGACGGATTGCCACAGATACAAGGGAAGAAAAGTTGTGGAAATTGGGTTGTCATTGGCGGATGTTAAAAATATCGTGTTTGGGAATAGTAGGAGAGCAAAGGGCGCTATGGAAGTCAATAAGGAAAAGAAGTGATAGAATGGGAGGACATGTTATGAAACATTGGGAAAACCTAGATTAGATTATTGTTCCCAAACAGTTCAGGGTATGGGACTTTCTAGTCATTCGAAGGATTAACTACGATAGGGAGATGTGTATCCAACCAGTCTTGGGACCGATAACCGTAGAAGCTGTGGAAGTTGGAGCTTCCTAGGGTGGTGATGAAAATATCAGAACAAAGAAGACATTGGGATAAGGGAAAAGGAGTCATAGGATGGTAGGATACCTTCTGAGACGTTATAGTTCACAAATAGTTACGAATGTAGAAAGCTACAGTTTTTGGGAAGATTGATTCAGTTATCGAACTGATGACCCTATGACGATAATAAACTATACGTATACCTACGGCTGTTTGATACTATTGTTACTTTGTTTTCCTTGGCAATTTGGTCCTTCTATTTCGGAAGTTTGCTGACCCCTGGTTTAGTCAATGATGACCAACGATGGTACCAATTAATCCGGTTAGAGAGTAGCGTTTCTAGGTACTTTTTGAATGAAATAGCTCATAAGGGAGTATGACGGCAAATACGTCTCTGTGCCACACGTACTCGAAGAAAACAGAAATAGTGCTGACGTGACAAACTTATCAATTTATTGCAAGAAAAATTCCCAGTTTGTATTATCAATACACGAGAACAAGGGCATAGCAGTAAAGTAAATAGATCGACTAACCAAAGTGTCTAACATGATAAACTTTTTTAGTGGTCATACTGATGGTATTGAATTCAATGGTAGCGTAGCACGGATTGATACTAGAAAATAACCTCCAAATTAAATGAGACGTGCTTATGCGACTTAATTTTGTTCAACATGCTCAAAATGGAAAGATTAATAGTGACTTGCGCTTGACTCATTGTGAATTTTTAGTATATTTGCAATTTTATTAGCTTCTCTCATTTACGCCGCCACTGATCGAATTGTTAGACAATTAACCATATGTCCATACGCATCATTAATTTATGTATGCATCTCTTATATGTTTACGGACACTTTTGAAACCTTTATCGAAAAATCGGCTATTAGTGTACCAAAACGTATATGTATACTTTTTCAGTGGCGCATCGAGGGGGAGACATAGGGGACCATGGGCCCCGGGCGGCGCAAATAAGGGATCGGAAAATGCTTTTTTCAGTATTAGTTAGAATCAAGTCCGCCGCATAGTAAGGTTAGATATTTTAATCTCTTGGTACTTGCACAAGTTATTAATAATTTGCACCATTACCGTCTTGGCTTGGAAAAATACCAGGATTTTTGTGTTTATAAAAATCTAGGAAATGCAACTGTCTTGTATCTAACTGTAAAAGCGGCAAATTTTTATAATCAATATAATAAAAACTCCTAATAGTTCACTTTATGATTGAGACGAAGTTTGTTTGTAAATAAGCTCATATATCTTCAATTTTCGCTAATAATAAACTTATCTTACTTATTTCCTCAACAGTTAAATTAAAAATACACCTTGTTTGTAAACCTTTTCATGGCGAGTCCAACCAATTTAAATAAAAGGTCTTACACAGCTGTCAAAATAGGAAGGACGGCAAATTAAAGCTTCACCCCAGATGGCAAAAATTTAGGCTACGCCACTGTATTTTTTTTTTAGATTCTTCTTTGTATAACATTTAACGTAATTGAAGATCTCATGCACCTAATTTATCGAATTTATTCAAGGAGTATTTTGTATTCATTTATTAATTTTTCGAACTGATATCCTTAGCAAACAAACAAACAAACAGAAACTGTTATCGGATCATTTTATAGCTTTTGATAAAATGTAAAGTATTCGAATATTGATACTACCAAACGATAGCCGTTTAGATGCCAATTATAACCAATGACAGGTATCCAATACATTTCCGGTTCAGGAAATTTCGAAAGAAGAATTTATTTGACGTTGAATGTGAGGTAGGTAGAAGAAGATTGTATCTGTCAATTCTTTGTTTATTTACATTTTGTGTCTGACACAATTAAATTAATGACATCACTGTTTAAATATTTGTAAAAAAAAAAAAACGAAAAATAGATATCTACATCCGATTTTTTTCAAAATATTATTTAACAGCTGATAAAGACTTACAAGTTTACGTAATTCGAATGATCATATTTAATCGTTAAAATAAATGAAGACATTTTCAAAAATATTCTTATCTGCTATCGTGCCATCTCTGTCTTTATCGCATGATCTTACGGCAACAAAGAGCCGTGACGTCACTGATCGATACAACTGTTTTACGATTACTCCTTCATGTTTGTTAATTCTCAAAATTTTCATATTCCGTTTTTATTGATTCTAATGACTTGAGGAAATAAAAATAGAATTAGTTAAATGTACAATTACCAACAATGTCACAGTGTAATCACTAACTTTGCTCATAACTGATGTTTCTCCAAAGATTAATTGAATTAGCGTAGAAATACATATACGCTCTGAATGATTTTCAGGAAACGAGATATTAATAATAAATACTAAAATAGATAATTTATTTAATTAATTATTAATTAGGTATACTTCATTTACTTTCTCTAGCGATGTCCAATGTCTTGGATGCGCGCTGGCAAAATCGCAGGTAAGGAGAAAAAAGCTCATTATACTCTCGACTCTTGTTCATTAAACATACTTTTTCATACAGTACCTGCCAAAAGTTTTGTTCAATCATGATAGTAATGTGAGTCGAAAACAATCGTTAAAGCCTTTAATATGTCTTCAAATATAAATAAACATCCCGTTGATATTTTCAGTAGTAATTGGTACCAATAACAGCACATTTGAGCAATGCACTTGTAGTGGATAAAATGGTCAGTTTTTCCGTGCAGTACTGTACGGATGATACGCTCCTTACCGGTTAAGAATTTGGCCGAGAGTTGTCTCCTTCCTTTTCAGGCCTAGTGCTGTTCTTTTTTACTTTGCGCCGGTCAAACTGAAGGTCACATCGCTACAGAAACTAAACGAGGTAAAGGTACTTAACAATTTTGCAATGTCGCGGAAAATTAAAAACTAAAATGTGAATTTTAATATTTCCATCGAATTAAGTAGTGTATTTTCTCTATTGTAAATGGTGAAAGATAAAAAGTCAATAATTTAAAAAACAAATAATGAAATTATCAGTATAATAGAATATAAATAGTTTAATAGTCTAGTAGATACCACAATTTTTCTGCGCATATTAAAATGAAGTGGTGTGTGATGAATTCAAAAACATTTTAGTTGTTACTATCGTATATCGTAGACTAGATATTGAGTTTGTATTAGTTAATATTTACAAGTAATTAAAATAAGTATTAGGAAAGAAATCTACTTCCTTCCAATTATTTACAATTCTTTTTTACATGGAGAGAATTTTATATAAACGTCTTTGATAAACTAAACCAGTTGTTCAAATTATAATGCCTAATACACTGGATGGAAAGTGTTCATTATTCCCAGCAAACAAATTAATGCAGTCCCTTTCAATAAACTGAGTTTTATCTTTGGTAGCAAAACCTTAATTAATGGTAACCATCAATTCCACTATCCTTATAGTTTCTTTCAATTGGATTTATTATTTTCACCGTTAGTTTCATTATTTTGACTGGAACCGTTCGGGGAGCTGGAATTAGTTGCCCTAGTAACACTATTAGTAAGCGGTTCTGGAGGTATAAGTCCCTCTTTCATTCTCTTTTTCTGCTTCATTCTTCTATTCTGAAACCAAATCTTCACCTGGGTCTCGTTTAGCTGCAAAGCAGAAGCAATCTCAATACGTCTCGCTCTCGTGAGATACTTATTGAAGTGGAATTCTTTCTCCAATTCTGTTAGTTGTTTATTGGTGAAATTTGTACGACCTGAATTGAGACAATTTAAGCCTAACATGCTCGAGTTTACTGACTGGTTTGTAGCCAAACACGATACCCTGGTTGGTTCTGAAGAAAGGGTTGACGTTGGATAATCTGAGGATGTCGGAATTTTTGGAACTGTAACAAAAAGAAATACACTTGTTATTTATATACATGGCAATATATTTTAAAATAAAGAAAACATCCTTTTGTATCTGTTTTCGCATTATTTATTTGCAAAGTACATTTAATTAAAAATACTTTTTATCTCTGAACTTCTAAAGTAATTAATCCACAAAAGGTTTTTTATATAACAAATAATGAAAACGTATTGAGACTTTGACCGAGATAACGATTTGGCTAATTTTACAACGTTGAAAGACTTGTTGCTATCTCCCTTACAAGGCGGTGTTTTATAATGGTTTAATTTTCCGTTTCCAGGTGTCGCCTAAGAATCCATTATACAATTTTTACTATAATTAAACAACAGATGAAGGATTCCATGGTTAGAGACACACACACACACACACACGAATTGGTGACGAACATTCAAATCGTTTGTGTCAGCTTGTAATATTTGTTGGTTACGTATGTGCCCTGCAATTCTTGTTGCACTATAGCATTAGCACGAAAACTTGTCAAAAATCAGATTGGGGTCAGTCTAAAAGTCAAGGTACGTAAATGCTTTGTGAATATTTTTTATATAAAACGGTTATTTGACTTTCTAACTGTTTATCTTGATAAATCTCAGATATAGCGTAAGGTTAGTAACTGAAAACTGAACCATCTGCTTTTTATCAATTTGAAGGGGGTCAAGGCGGGAGTTAGGCGTACACCCTGCCACTCGAATGAAACTGAAAAATAATTTAGATTTAAGATTTATTAGTTTTCTAATTATTATTCTTGCTAACTTCAACAGTATTTATTAAATTTTCTTGAGAATGTAATACAGAGCACTGGTACACTGTAAATAAATATTTTTTAAAAATTTCATGAAACAATTAACACAAGCCGAAGTATTGTTACAGCCTAATCTAATGTCTGAGATTGGATGAAGAAGATATTCTTCCTTCTGGTATTAAACGAGGATGATTCTGAATAAGATAAATGGTAGCAAAAATTGAATTTACTGTTTCTGGCTTACTTTAACAGCGATTCCTATCTGTCTTCGTTTAGTAGGTGCGGTTTTCTGCCTTAACTTCTCTGCGAAGGGGTGTTAATTGAGACGTTGAAAAGTGGTATCACTAACAGTAATAAAATAAGCTTCCAAACGTCTACGTTTATTTTTAATTGGCAGATCTAAAAGTCGTGGAAAAACTTTCTTTAAAAAAATTCGCAATTTTACCAATAATACTAAAAGTGTGTTTTATTAATACAAAACTAAAAAAAGAATTTTTTTTGATTTCTTTCAAATCAACACTCTAATACAAAAAAAACAACAATTGCATATGCCTTTTTGATAAAAAATCCTGGAAGAAGAAGGTTTATATCAAAAGATGTTAGCAGTGTTTCAGGTAGTTTCAAAATGATACAGAGAAGACTCCTGCATTCAGTTTTAATTAAACCAAGTAAAGGTGTATTTGTAAAGGCCAATTCTAATCCCCTAATCCCTAATGCAATCGAAAATATCTGCAGTTTTGTCAGTATTAGGTAAAGGGTTGAAACAGACAGCTGCTTTATCAGCAGGCAACAGAAGTCAGTGACCAAAGCAGGAGGTAACACTGGATTCACTTTATTGCAAACAATATACAAGATGTAATCCCGTGTGGATTACACAAGGGGTTGCACAATTTTTCCTGGAGATAACTCCTAATAGATACTACAAAAGACGATTTTAACAAGAATATGTTGCATTAATAGGTAACACACTTTAGGTACTTCTCTTTAAGTGATTGTTTTAGATTAAGAAGCAGAATTAACTAACAACGCTTTTTATTCATTACTGTATCAAATAAAATTTGTAGCCATTAATATTTCTATATATGTTCCGTCACAACATTGACTTCCGCACATGAATTTTATTTTAATTGAATACTACTCTTCATTTAAGTAATTCACGCAGATATTACAGTCCAGTAGTAAATACTCAATTTGTATGATAAAATGTGAAATATTTAAGTGTTTCTTTATTCGTGTTTAACCCTAAATTCTCATCATGCAAAGGTCGAAACAATTCAATTTCAAGAACCTTAAGAAGCTCTTAATTATTTAGCTCATAAACGTGAAGGTAATATTAATGGAAGTGTGAGTATATATATATGCTTGAAGTTAACTTAAAAATGTTATTTATTTAACTATTAAATTCGTATTTAAAAGGAACTTTAAGTTATTCGTTTATTGCGACGTAGTGAAGAATCAAGAACAATAAAGAGACTAACGCTGTAGTCTTTGTCCGTTACCTAAAATGGGACCGTCTTCGCCAGTTGTGGGAAATACGTTGACAGACAGGGTGAATTGTAATTTTATCTCGTTATGTAATCTATTGTGTAATATTTGGCGGTCTAATGTAAAAAGCATGTTAAATGTTAAGAGTTGGCAAACACAGTCCTCCATGGCACCGTCTGCCATTACCTACACCCATCCCCATGCATTTCCTAACACAATATTATTAAGTTAATTATATAAGTAACTGTTTGTTATTAAGATTTTTATAAATCTTAAACTTGATGAGTTTTTTATACGTATAATACTTATTAATAAAAATTAGGAAATCAAACAAGTAGAAATTTAAGAAATGTAAAATTTAACAAATGAACACAACAGACTAAAACTAAAATCATGACTGTCTTTATACAAGCAAGACTAACACCGGACGAACAAGACCTACACTTAAACCAAGACCCAATATGCCAGACCAAGACCAAATACGCAAGAGACTAAACGAAAAATCATTACTTTCTGTGAATTTATGAGTTAAATTACTTGAAGCAATTTATTTAATATATTTATTTCTTAAACATTTTTGGTGTTTGAAATTTTCAGTTTGCTTTAATAAATTTTAACACTAAATATAAAAAGAAGAAACTTTACCACTGTTTGAAGAAATGGATTTACAAGAATGTTTTCGGAGTAAGTGTTCTTAGTTCCTGTGTCTGGATAATAGTTTTGTTTTGGGAAGATTTCTACATTGTATGTATATTTATAATAGTTTTGTTGCTTATTGAAAAAACTAACAGACTAAATTTATATTATGGTTCACCTTATTGCTCTCTTCTAAATCATCATCATAAGGTCGTCAGTCCTAAGACTGGTTGGACACGCACCTCCACTCTTTCCTATCCTGAGCTAATCTTCGCATTTCCCTAAAACTAAAACAACCCATATCCTTAACTATTTGCGAACAGTAATCTAATCTAGGTCTACCTCTATTCCTGCTGACTTCCGTTTCTGCCTCTCTAATATGTTTCTGACTAGACCTTCATGCCTGAGAAGATGTCCTACCAACCTATCTCTCCTATTTCTTATTGACTTCCATAGAGTCCTCCGTTCTCCTATTCTTTCCAATATCTCTTCACTTCTAACCTTTTCTATCCACGGTATCCTCATCATTCGTGTTTCCACATTTTGCTCACCCATATATAAAATAATTTATCATCTTTTTTGTCATACAAAAAAAAAATACTGCGGACTTCGTCCTTTGCCCAGCATGTCACTACAGGAGAGTACTAGGTCAATTTGTACCAATACGAGGAGTTCTAAGAACGTAGGTAACCAAAAAATTAAGGATTAGATTGTTTTAAGAATGTGTCCTTCTATGTTATAGTTTGCAGGTTTTGCAATGAAACCCATACGCAGTAGCGTGGAGGCGGCCAGGGCGGACTATGAAAGTGCCGCCTCTTTTCGATCCCAAAAAATACTAAAACGAGAAAAATTAAATTTCCATCTCGGGACGCAAGGCATCTGCCACCCGTGAATGCCGCCGCTTGGGGTGGCCCGCCTATACCGCTCCTCCCTTATTTACGTCACTGTCCACACGTAGTAGTAAAATATATTTTGTCATACATCCCCAAAGAAATTTATTGTTAAAATTACTTCCGGTACTTTTATAAGCACAAACCATAATTAAATTATTTTGTGAAAATCAGATAAAATGTAAATATGGTTATTTAAATGTAGCTACGAAATGCTTGTTCGCAAAATGGAAATAAGATAATGAAGATGGTGCTCAATGTATATGGCAAGCATCGCATCGTCATTTACCTTTGTAACATGTTTTTCATTTCTCTCATTGTATTGTTATTTTCTATTTATTATTCAGTTAGCGCGTTAGGGAGCCAAGGGACCGAGCGATCCATCGTAACTTGACAGCTCCACACATCAATATTCGAGCATTTCACAATTCTGCACGTTTTATCTCGGAAAGGTATCAAACCCAGAATAATGTTATAACTACAGTTACTCGCTCCTGTTATTGTTGAATTTTCATTAAAGGTATGTACTCGGTGGGTTAGGCGCAGTACGAACAAAGCAAAGTTGCTACACAATGAGATAATTTAATTATTGTATTGGGATAGATATACAGGAGCGAAAAATTATTATGCTTAGATTTGCAGATGATATAGCAGTATTAGCATCTAGGACCTAGAGATAGCTTTAAATAAAATTGAAGCGGTACTGACAGATCAGTACTGTGTGAAAATAAATAAAAGTAAAACAAAGATACTGGTATGCAAGGGAAGGAAAAGAGCGAATATAAAGATAGGAGACGAAAAATTAGAAGAAGTAGCTGATTTTAGATATCTAGGAAGTCAGATAAGTCAGGACGGAACGAGTAGTAGGGATATAAAGCAGAGGATAGCGCAGGGTCGTGTCGCCTTTAATAAAAAGAAGTCACTTCGATGCTCGCGAACGGTTAATTTAGAAATTCGAAAAAGGTTGTTAAAGGTGTATATTTGGAGCGCGGCGTTGTACGGGTGCGAAACATGGACAGCGGGCGCAGCGGAAAAGAAAAGATTAGAAGCCTTCGAGATGTGGTGTTATAGGCGAATGATGAGGATACCGTGGATAGATAAAGTTAGGAATGAAAAGGTATTAGAAAGAATAGGAGAACAAAGTCAATAAAAAATAGGCGAGATATGTTACTAGGACACCTTGTCAGGCATGAAGGTCTAGTCAGAGACATATTAGAGGCAGAAACA